ATACCACTAGTTTCAGGGCTATCTTATGAAGTCTTGAAAACTTCGCACCTATACAGGCTTACTGGTAATTCGATACATTCCTTTGGAGATGTTATAGTTCATTTCATAGTTTTTGAGATATTTAAATATTCAGGAGGTCGTATTGCGGTTATGGCACGCAGTAAATTGGTTCTCCACTATTACCTCAAGAAATATCTTTAGTTTTTTGCATATATCTCAGGAACCTATGCATTTGTATGAGGAATAATTACTTTCAGGTTGGGTATCGATGATCTGATGTAATACACCAAGTTGATATAACAATATTCAAAAATAGGAACTCGATGAATAAATTAATGTAGATATTAATTGTTTTCGTACTCTTGACACGCTCTGTAGGTATCTCAAAGAGGAAGCATTCTAGACTATACGTTGACAGGAACTTTTCACCTCAAAATGAGGTTGAAAGGATCCGTATACGAAGTTTGTCAGTCTTATTCTGACTCACCCTCTGTTTATTATCAATCAAAATATTCGTCATTTGACGTACTATTTTTTATCAAGATCTGCCTGCCTCAGGTTTGTTCGTTTGTCATACTTACCCTGCTAAAAAGTTAAGTGAGCAATATTTGATGTTCGTTTGTTCCGAGCAATTGATGATTGACTATTCGTTTGACTTGAACAAGTTGCCATAGGTAGATCACTTGAAGCAGGATTGATTTGCTCCGCAAATTTTCAGGGAGAAGAAAAATCGAATCAGATTGATCAAGTTAGATGACAAATGAAAACAAAGGAAATGGCGAAATATGCTACAATAATGTATGAATATGGCAAAAAAAGTTGAATTGTTGACATTGTCGAGGTAATAGACGCGTATTCCGACATCATCCTCGAATAATTAAGATTAGTCTTCTGCTAGGCGATTTTGGCTTTGACGATGCTAGCAATGAAACGATTGGTCAATGGCAGCTAACCAATTCGAATTGACCAATAATATCATAATTACGTACGTTTCATCGCTAGCATCGCCAAGGCAAAAATCGCCTAGCAGAAAACTAAGCTTTATTGTGTTCTCTCCATCAACATCAACGTTCAAAACCTCCTATCAAAAGCAAATCAAAACAAATTTGGAAATTACTCAGATTAGGATATGTTCAGAAATGAATTTTGCCACTGCTTTGTGTTCGTTTGTCTTTAGCAGTGAATCAAGCTCTCTGTTTGTTTGAGTTGAGCAAGAAATTAATGCTCCTAAACCGATTTCTCAAATACTTCACAAAAAAAGGATTTGAAATCATCAAATCATTTGAGCTAAGTACTATTATAGGAGGTAATTTCTTTTTAGAAACTACTGACTGACAACTCAGCGAGGATCGTCTTAAACTATAGTCTCGATGGTAACACACATGTTCGTCCTTTTCCAATTTTCATCAGCTCAAAATTGAAACCACCCACTTGGTGGATGTATTTTCACCAAAGTGGTTCCACCAAAAATTTCAATCATTTGAAAAAACTGGATCTAATAAATGGCGAATGCACTAAATTGAAATGTTGGTGCAAGTGACCTGAGAAGATGTATGATTTTTCTGTGACAGGAAAAAAGAACAGAATTAGACTGGCAGATATTTGATACAACGTAGGTGTAATTCCTGTTGAAATCAGAATTTCATATAATGTTATATCTTCTCCATATTGATTCGTCTTTTTTCCTGTCGCAGAAAAAAATTGTGAATTATACACAGGTAAAATATAAGATTTAAGCTCACAAATTTTTGTCTTCAACACAACCTCGAGCTGAAATCTATTACTTTTTTCCCATGAACAATAAATATCTAATTTTTTCCTTTCAAGATAAATTAATATTGTGCTTCCACAGGTGCACAGGTGCACGATTATTTTCATATATTATTCGGGAATACAGGAATATATAGATACCTATTTAATCTTGATCGAATCAAGTTCTGGGGAAGTTGGAGACGAAATTTTGTTATACATTCCAAACTATTATCAAGTACAATTTTCACTCATCTTCTCTACAAATGAAATAAAAGTATTATTTCAAAATGTCATGGGAACCATTCATCCTTCTCAAAGTGGTCCAATTCTTCAATATTTCAATATACCTGTAGTAAGGACAAATCAGATTATTTGTTCCTAAAAGTCACGTCACTTAAAATGTCCCTTTTAGAAGAATTATATCGATATTCAGTGACAACATGGAATTTCACTTACATTTGGACGTTTCGATACCGATCGAGTCTCCATTGAGAAGAATGCAAGCAAATTCTTTAATTTTTCTCCCTTGTTGTTATCATCTTCTACTATGATTTCAATGTTAGTCTTGTTTGTCATTATTTGTCCCTTTTCAAAATAAATTCTTTCATAGATATGCACGATGTTCTTCGAACATTATAGATTCCCTTGCGTACGCCCCAAGAGATAAAAATAAATAGATAGATAACTATAATCAGGATGATATAAAATACCAACTTATCGATGTTATTATCAGGTAACCATATTTCCGGTAATCTGACCAAGACAATTCCCATTTTTGTATTTCCCATACATTCTATTCATGTATAGATAACGAATAAACGTTTTTTAACAACGCAATTATTATTCTTCTCTATCTATGATTGATTTGAAACTACTAATGGGAATAAAACACACCCTGTGTATGTACGAGTGCAAATAATGCCAGCGTAATGTATATACGCTGATGCATGATGCATTGCAACATCAATATATTATCAAACTTTCCTCATTGCTATTATGCTGGTAATTTCGTTAAATATTAAGTAGGTAGGAACCCCTATCGTGGTTAACGAATATTGATACATGTGTTTAGTTCTGGATATTTAATGTATTGAAACAAATTGGTCTAGGTCCTATACAGGGTGTTTCAAAAAACTTGAACCCCTTGATAGGGTAGGTAGAACACTGCCAAATAAGTTGTGTTTTTTCAGTATTCATCCGTTTTCACGATACAATAAAGTTTTTGGGTGTATGATAAATTGATATTCATGATACAGGACGTGAAAAGAAATTCTGAATTGAACAAGTTTTCATCGTTCAAGTTCTAACCCCTTGATTGGATGAAAGTATTGAAAAGGAATAATATATATATATATAAAGAAATACATTGAGAATTATGCATATAATATCATTCTGAATGTTCAACAGAAAACAACTACTTTCCTGGCTATTTGCCACGTCGAACATTGGATTATATCTGTTGAATATCCAAAAACCAGAGCAAAAATAATCAAAATCCTCTGAAATTGAGAATTGACATGCATCATCTATTATAGGTAGATGAAAATTGTGTATATCATGACTTCAGGTTACTGATGAGGATATGATATCCGAAATGAGTTTTACTTTTACTCGAGTAAAGTCATATACAGGGTTATGATAAAGTAATGCACAAAATTCATAAAACGTACAACGATCACTTTTGAAAAAATGCAAAAACACGTCAAACTGTTTTTTTTATTCCGCATTTTTTGACATAAGTTACAAAAATAACACGTCAAAGTTGTCAAAGTTATGACGTCATCAACAATTTTTTTTAAAGGGAAGCTAAGATTTTCATTACATTATGTGATAGAGCTTGATGTGTTTTTACACAAGGGAAAAATAGTTGCAAGCTCTATCACATAATGTAATGAAAATCTTAGCTTCCCATTAAAAAAAATTGTTGATGATCTCATAACTTTCACAACTTTGACGTGTTATTTTTGTAACTTATGTCAAAAGATGCGGAATAAAAAAAACAGTTTGACGTGTTTTTGCATTTTTTTCAAAAGTGATCGTTGTACGTTCTATGAATTTTGTGCATTACTTTATTATAACCCTGTATATATAACCTGTTTGTGAAAGATATAATTCCCATATCACTGATACGAAGGATTTTTTGGAAGTTCCAATATCATCAAGATTAGAGTTCATATAAGTATACTTCTCCTATACATTTCAATTTTCATTTCAATAGTGAACATATTGGTAAGTTATATTTTTATATCATAATACATAATATTATTCTATTCGATTTGAGAGATAATGTCAATTCTCATTTTCAGAGGATTTTGATTTTTCATGCTCTCTTTTTGGGTATTCAACAGATTTAATTCAATGTTCGACGTGGCAAATAGCCAGGAAAGTAGTTGTTTTCTGTTGAATATTCAGAATGATATTATATGCATATCTTTATATGAAGGATAATCCAAATTCTCTACTTCAGACCATTTTGTTTTCAAATTCTTATCGTGTGTGTTCAATAGATGTAATTCAATGTTCGTCGTGGCATATAGCCGGGAAAGTAGTTGTTTTCTGTTGAATAAACCGAGAATGAATTAATATCTTCATCACATGGTTAATGCGAAACTACTAGCAACATTTTGATGATATTTTGTATGGATGTGTTTTGCATGCTGACACATCGAACGAATTTGTTTTTATATCTTACTCCCACAGAGGGCGATAGTTACACGTTTTGTACCTAGCAGTTTTAAACGAACTTTTTCGAGGTTAGATTTTTCAATCAGAGTCAAATATAAGAACAAATTCATGCAATGAGTCATCTTTCAAAACACATCCATACAAAATGTCATTACAATGTTGCCAGTAGTTTGGACATAATAGTGAAAAATGTGTGAGAAAAAACTTTTTTTTAACACCTTATATCTTGAAAACGGATGCCGTTTCGACATTTTTTTACTGAGCAAACCCAACTTATTTTGCAGTGTTCTACCTACCCTAGCAAGGCGGCAGGTTTTTTCGAAATTCCCTGTATATATTCTTGAAAGTTCATCCAGTGGACTGTCAGTCGCAGAAGTTACAAAAAAAATTGAATTATTTCCTAATTATTATGGGATCATCGGAAATATTGGAATTTGAAATTATCAAACAAGTTGATACCACGAAACTTGTTTCATTGCGGAAATATAGTATTTTAGAGTGATTTGTTCTGAATTCGGTTAGTTTGAATGGTTCACGAAGGGAATTTCAATAATACAAGGGCATAAACAAAAAATATTTATTTTACAAATAATTGATGAAAATCATATATCACTTGAATAAAAATAACCAACCACTCACTGAGAATACGAATTCGACAAAATGACAAAAAATCAAATTAATATCTATACAGAGTCAAGATCACAATGCTATACCGTTTTTCCAACCATACCTAAATAAACTTTCTATAGTGACACAGGGACATTCAATAAAATCTCTTAACTTCTCATTCTAATAATTTTTCGACTAAATTCGATTTACTGTAGGTACTATATCGTGAAGTAAGTACGCACAGTTACAATCGCAGCCACCATCGGACTACTAGCTAGTACTTAGTTTAACAATCTGTAACCTGACCATGCAATGGACACCAAGAAGCCTTTTGAATAAAAAAATTGGAGCACACAGAAATCACAACTGGATTATAATAAGAATTTCATTATAGAGAATTGAAACAAAAACCCTTAAGAGGGTAGGTACAACATGAGATCGCGGTGTCCCCTCTTAATGAAAAACAGCTTTTGCTAGAGGTTATAATGTTTTAGACTTATTTTACACCGTAGCACTGAGTAATTTTCGCTTTAGCCTCCAATTTTTTTAAATCAAAAGTGAGAGTTAATGCTCTATTACTCAATATGATAATGGCACGAGATGGCAGTGTTGCTCGGCCTATGATATGATAATGACTAAACAAATTGATATACAAGGCAAGTGGAAAATTGTTCAATTCAACGTTTGATGTAATAGTAGGAGAGTCGGCTGCAGCTGTCAACCGACATTTGATGACGAAATGATATACATATATCCCAAACGAAAGTAAAAACATTGTAGTTCATCGAACGGCACCTGTGCCAATCACTATCCTGAGCAAAATGATTAGAAAATTGCTTTTTCCTGTGCGGAAATTTGCATTTGAATAAATTAGTATCGTTAGATTCGTCAAAATATCCTTTTTTGGAAAGTGCTTGTCAAAAAATGGTCGCTATTTGAAAAATAATAGTTACACACGAGAATGTAATATTGCCAACTTGTCTTATTCATATCTATCATACTTGTCACTAAAACTTCGCGATTGTAATTTTCTGATATCACCTGGGGTCCTTAGATGAGTTTACTTCCGATCATGGCCACCTAGATGTAATTTCAAAACTGACACCAGAAGAATTAAATAGGCATAAAAACTTTTGAAAATGTCACATTCTGATCTAGAATAGTCTCAGAAATCCGAAAATGTTACAATATACAGGGTGTTCCATTTAAAAATTTTGAACCGGAGCCATTTCCGGTGAAACCGAAAGTGACCGGATGGTAAAAAATATGTGGAAACTCTCCTCTTCACATACGATTTACCTATACCAAATCTCAATTCGATACACCTTATGGTCTAGAAGTTATGACTTGTCTAATAGATTCGTTGACACCCGGTATATCATTTCGTTATCAGATGACGGTCAAAATTTACAGTCGGCTCTTGGACTATAAGTATACATAACTTTTAATGGTAAAAACTATCTGTTCGGTTGAGTTTATCTTAATGGTATACTTTACATATGAGATAGGCGCTAACTGTCAATCTTGCACAACTTTGTGAATAAAACTAATCGTCTAACTAAATCTATGATAATTGATATCAGTGAAATTCAGTGACGTGGTCCATATTATATCGAAGGGAATTCAACAAATGATTCATGAGTTTTTTATTTAGTTCAATTCATGAGGAATGTGTTTTAATGTCAAACTGTGTATACTTTCAGAGATTATACACACATACTTTGAAAAAATATTTCAGGTCTCATAAATAGAATTTCATATTTTGATGAAATATAAAATGAAGCTCATGTATGATGATGAAATCAGTGAAGACAGTTCCATAGGTATAGGTAGGGAAAAGTTGTGCAACATTTTTGGAATTCACACAACATTCGATACAACGATAAATTACACATTTTGTAACAACCTTTCGCTTATTTTACGTTTGCTAAATTATCAAAATACAAAAAATGATAATTGCTCACTTATTCTCAACTAACTAATGATATAATGATGATATTGTTTCTCTGAACGATGAACCCTGATGATGCTAGGAAAATATTCAATATTTTCCTGGTGATGTTAGCAGTGTGTATTTTGAAATTGAATAAATTCATCATCTGTGAAACCAAAAATATTTCAAAAAACCTCAATGAAGCATTCCTCATCTATACAGAGTGACGTTTGTTTATGAATATTGAAAATATGATTGTTGTTAACAAACAAAGTCGAATTTACCAAGTTGAGGATGAAATCGAAACTATATACTTACCGAAGGTGAATGAAAAAAATCTTCTTCTTGAGTTCTTGCAAATATACAATGTTAATTTCTGTATATCAAGGAATAACCAGTTGAAGACCTTATGTTCTTGCCCCAGTTGTTATCACATCAGGGTTATTCACCTACCTTGAGTAAAAATCAATTAGAAGGTATTGGAGGAAGAATACTCCACATGTTCAGAGATTTATTCCGATTCTTGATTTGGCTGATAATTGATTTATTCCATTTTCAAAATTCATACTGTACAGGTTGTTTGATCACAGCCGGTCATCGGCGTCAACATCGTGTTCCACAATTTAGAAGCGACAAATATATTTAATATACAGAAACCTATGAAATAAAATCATCAAGTTATCAAGATTTATATCATGAGATTTTTTACTGAAAGTTGTAGGATCACGCCGGTGGTAGACCTTGATGAAACACCCTGTATATAGAGGACACTCCCGTATCACAATTTTGTTTCTTTTACAACCGTTGTATTCATCGATCGAAAGTAGATTATTTTTGTTCATAGTAGTAAAGGTAGCCTACCTGATAAAATAAAAAAATAATAGATCTTAAGCTAAGCACACTATATAAGAATTGGAGAAGTATAGTGGCTTTCCAGTATGTATATATGAAGAGATATTGAGGAAAAATTGTGTATTCCAGTCATGAAATAAAAGTAATGCAAATCCGCCATGATGTTGCCAAATTTATCGAAACCTAACTATCATTACATTTTTGTACAAACATGCCCCATTCCAATATTATTGTCATAATATCTAACATGGACAAAAATAGTAACGTCAAAACGAACAGACCAAAAAGCATTCCTCCCAGAAAAATCCAATCTATGTTCATTAAGCACCCTCTGAGCAAGATGGTGAAATTAAAAATTCAATTCAGGGGATTCAAAAGTCTCACTGCGCTTTTCGTTTCTAGGGAGCAATAGCCTTCAAGGGTCTGTGTATAGGTACCTAAAATTATCAAATTTATTATAGGCAGTGCTTTTTCAAAAAATGTCTTAGAATTCGAATGATCAATGTTCTTTCGTCCCACGTTATTTTAATGTCTATAGCATCGAAATTTCCGTGAGCGCGTTTATTGCTGAGATCAGTGGAAGATTTTTCAGTTAGTCTTGGTATCACCTTTGATCTTTCGCTTCATCCTGTATCAAGGATATTGAATCTTCATCTTCTGATTCTTCTATTAAAGATAAACTCAGTTCCAACTGAAACAAAAAAAAAACGAATAGTCAATAAGAATATAGGGTATTTGGGAAAAGAAGTTCACCTCTTTTCGGAGATTTTCAACTAGTCTCTTTTTGTCCATTCTCAGTCGATCAACTTCATCAGCTTGGTGAGCACTTCTTATTCCAGATATTTCTAGCAGTGCCATATGTGCATCCTTTTCGCTTATTGCAGATTCCAAAGCTTCTCTCCTAGTAGAATAAAAAAGCAAAAATAAGCTCAAAATAACCATAAGAGTAGGTAAAATGCAATTGATCTTGAAATTAATAAATTAAATCCTTGAGAGAGCGGATTACCTCCTACGTAGAAAGAGCACTCAAGACATTACTTTCGATCACTCAGTATATTAAAGTGATAAAATAATGAAATGTTTCAATAAACTCAAAGGCACAAAACGCTTACTTACTTCATGTGAGCTAACTCTTGCAAGTTCTTCTTCCTCTCTCCAACCAGCTTGGTCAGTTTAGATTCCAGTGTTGTCATTCTTCTAACATACGGTTTGCAGGAATGGCATCTCATCGCCTGTGCTGACTGTAGAGATAAGAGCCTTTGCTCTAACTTGCCAACCTACAAAATAATTTTTAGTTTTCGCAGCAAAACGGTCTGCAATATCAACTAACCTTCTGCATAATCTGTTGCCTTTTTTTCTCCTCTTCGTATAAAACCATTTCTCTCTCGGTGGATAGCTTGATGCTTTCCCTGAGTGCATCTTCCAACTGAGTTATCCTGTTTTCTTTATCTTCCAGACTTCTTTCTAGCCCGTTGTTATTCCTCAAGTTTCTAATTTCTTCCTCAAGCCTGGCGATGATCGTCTCAGTTGGTTTCGAGTCGTTCGAGCTATCCACATTGTTCTCTAGCTCGAGTATAATATCATTTTTGTCCTCATGATTTCTCGTGTGGTCGGTGTTTTCTCGATCTTTTCGGGTAATACTGTCGTTTTCCTAATTTTAAGCAACATAAAAAACATACAAAACACGGCATATTCTAAACGCGTATCATGCGATCAACTTAAACAAATTGGAGCGGATGTAAGTATAGGGAATGAGGCAATATTGTGGTGGGGGATGACAAGACTAGAAAAAGCTTTTCAAGAAGCCAGTGGGACCAGCCTGAGTATACGTACGTATCCAAGTTAGCGGAGAAAACAAGAAGAAACAACATATTAGTAGATGGCAAAACCGAATTAGTAGAAACTCAAAATCCATTCAGCGTGAAATCATGAAGCCATTTTTTTTTCATTCCGCCAAAAGGATCATATAGAATATTATTGTAATTTTTGGAAATTCTGACGAAGTATTGGATTTAACATATGTACAGTGTGACCCACTAAGACTCCAGAGTTCGATTTCTCTGTTGTCTTAAGAGATACAAGAAAAAATCATTGATCAAAATTGAAGCAATAACCGAGCTTCACATTTCAAAATTTCTTTGAAATACACAGGGTGTTCCGTAAGGTCACAGCACATCAAAGCTATGTTTTTTTCATTGGAACACCCTATATTTTATTTCATTTTTGAATTCTCCCTGAAGATCTGATTTCAACGACCCATCATACTTAGGGTCAAGCAGTGAAAGTTACTGACATATAGGGTGTGCAAAATCGAGATTTTCCAAGTTCAGGATTTTTTTCTGTCGAAACTGTTCATTATTCGTCGAAACGGTTTACATGTCCCTATCTCAACTTTTCACTCACTATCAATTGGTGTTCAATTGCAATTGATACAAGGTGGTCAAAAATCTAAATTTATAATTTGTTTCAATTAAATGTCAATTGAACACCAATTGATAGTGAGTGAAAAGTTGAGATAGGGACATATGTAAACCGTTTCGACGAATAATGAACAGTTTCGACAGAAAAAAATCCTGAACTTGGAAAATCTCGATTTTGCTCACCCTATATCTCAGTAACTTTTACTGCTAGACCCTAAGTATGATACATCGTTGAAATCAGATCTTCAGGGAGAATTCAAAAATGAAATAAAATATAGGGTGTTCCGATGAAAAAAACATAGCTTTGATGTGCTGTGACCTTACGGAACACTCTGTGTATTTTAAAGAAATTTTGAAATGTGAAGCTCGGTTATCACTTTAATTTGAATGCAAAACTTTTTCTTGTATCTCTCAAGACAACAGAGGTATCGAACTCTGGATTCTTAGTTGGCCACCCTGTACAGAGTGTGACCCACTTCTAAAAACACCCCTGTATCTTACGTTATCGTTGGGTAAGGATCCGGAAATTTGCTAGAGCGAGAGATATACAAAAAATGAACTCTATGACCAAGTGGAGTCATCTTCAGTGATATACACTGCTCGCCAACAGCCATGAAACCTCAAATTTCCGGAAAATGATATTAGGAGTCAAGATAGGTTGAAAATCACTTCGGATTCGGAATCAGGACGCCCAATTCCCAAACTATTCATAGTTTTCCTAGAAAATGTTCAGTTCAAAAATATTAAATTTTGTCTCACTTCTCATGGAAGCACCCCCGTATCTCACGTAATTATTGAGGTAGGGTTCTGAAATTTTCAGGATCCTTACCCAACGATTACGTTAAGTACAGGGGTGTTTCCATTAGAAGTGGGTCACACTGTATAATGAGTTTGGCTATGACTAATTTCTCGAATTCATCAAATTCTTTCATCATTTCGATTGAGCTTCATTCATTCCGAACACAACATTATATCATAAATGTTCATAACACATATCACTACTACTTTTTCTAAGCTAAAGGTTTAAGCTAAACCTTAAAGGTTAGAAAAATTAGACATGAATGCGAAATGGAGAAGTACCAAGCTCAGTATCGAAATGATATTGTGAATGATAAGAGGTGACATTATTTATTGTCCACCAGATCGCGCTACTGAAACCTCAGGTTAGAATTGGTAAAACTGATAATATTATATTGTTTAAGCACGGAATGATAGTCATTTTCACACGAGAATGAAGAGGCGAATGCTGAAAATCATACGAGTAGGAAATTAGCATTCCGTACGAGTTATACACTATCCTTTTTCTACGGCTAGAACAGAAAACAGCCAAATTTCTGATGTCTTCGGCTGTCACTGCTTGAAATTTGACATCACATGGGAGATTTCGTGAAATAATAATACAATGGAGACATTGTGATGATATCAGATACGGAAATGAAATTGATGATATACAAAAGAACCTCATTGATATATCGAACACAGTAAAATAAGAGCAATTTTGTGTTATAGCCGTGGAAAAATATACTCCTTCTTTTCGTTTCATTTGGCCTTCTCCTACGGTATCTTCTTCTCCGTCAATTTAAGAATTGGTCGTAGTTCGAGAGTAAAGAAACCGTAAGTCTTCTCAAGTAATCCATAACTTGAGGTTTTCTATTTGTTCAAATATTAGGCATCATTTTTTTCGATTATTTTCGAAAACAGGCCACAGCCTTTAGGGCTACTTGGCAAAATTTTTGGATTTTTCACTTTGACGTTTTTACCTCACGTTTTAGTAACGCGAACTGGTGATACTGAAAATGTTAATTGAAAATAATAGATGATAAATTGGATATGGAAACGCACTTCCGAGTTTTGAAAAAAAAATACTCTTCACCACTTGAAATATTTTTTACTTCATTGACAATAATTTGATCTTTACCTCTTCCTTTTGTGCTTGTTGTTGTTGTTGGCTCTTGAGTTTCATCTGTGCATTTTTTAGAGCTCTGGAATAAAAATATTGATTCAATAGTTTTGTGAAAACTCAATTCATGAATAAAAAATCCCAGAAGCCAGTGTGATTTTGTCATTATGACAGCGTCAAAACTTTGCCCTAAGTTTTCGAGCGGCAAAACGGAACCTACATTTTATATTTCCTTACCGAATTATACTCGAGCTTTTTATGGGTCGAAGGAAACTTCAAAAAATTTATAATTTGAGTTTTGTTCTCTTCAGGAAATTCATTTCAAAAACCTGGCAACAAAATTCTCATCAAAATGTCAAATTTACTTCTACAAGAAGAAGCTCTCGTATATTTATAAGTAAGAAAGTAAGATATTCCTGCAGTTTCGAATACCTAATGTCCCTAGCTGACGATGGATATACTGGTGAAACATCGAAAATCTTTCTTGTTCTGAACTGACTTGATTCTGATCAATGAAAAATTTGAGCTTACTGTTGCAAATCGGAAATTTGTTTCTCTTTCGCATTCTGTTCTTCTTGACTCATCTGTACCAGCTGTAGAAGCCTTTCCATCTCGGCAGCAGATCGCTTAGCCTCCTCTTGGGCTTGTTCCATCTTCTTCTCCGCCTCTGTCAATTTTTTGTTCATCTCACCCACAGCAGCTGCGTTACCGCCAGCCTAAAAAACAACATTGAAATCACCAAAACAACATCACTAAGTGTAGAGGAGGAGTTACCCTTTGTAATGAGTTTTGTAATTGGTCCAGTTGTTGTTTCTGTTTTTGTAATTGTTTATCTAAGTCTGCTAAGGATCTCTCTTTCTCCTCTATTTGTCTACTCTTATTATCTACAGTTCGCCTCTGCTCTTCGAATTGCTTCTTTGTTTCCTCTATCTTCCTCCTTTCTTCGTCAATCTGTCGCTTTTGTGCCGACAAATCTTCACTTGGTTTCTGACCAGCAGCTGCAGCTGCTTTCTTCTGTGCTTCATGCAATTCCAACTGAAACACGATAAGGAGTTTCACCCAAAAAATAAATTCTTCAGCATAGGTAACAACATTAGTAATATTCAGACTTGTTAAAATAAAACTCAAAAAAATAAATGAACACTTTTATATTCATTAACTGAAAGTATCGCAACGAAAAACCATTTCACCTCCAACAGTTAATAACGTTTTTCCATACTGAAAGAGAAACAACTGAAACAAAACCATATATGTACCTTCAACATTGAATCTATCAACAACTTTACCTGATTCCTCTCAAGCTCCTGTACTAGCATCTCAAGCTGCGATTGTAATCGTTCTTTCTCCGTCGTAGAGTTCTTAACATCAGCTTGTGCTTTCTCCAGCTCCCTCCTCAGCCTAGCTGTCTCCTTATCATCCGCTGCAGGGGGTTGTATCCCTCTTTCCTTCTGGTACAACGCCATCTGCTGCAGCTGTTGCTGCATCTGCTTCTCCAGCACTTGTATCCGCTTCTGCAAGTCCTGAGCAGCTTTCTCTGCCTGGTCTGCCCTATCGGTTTCCTGCTGCACAACTTTTCTCCATTGCTCCAGCTCGGAGTCACCTCTGGCACCGGACTCTTGCAGCAGCTTCTCGGCTTTGTCAGCTCGCTGCCTGTGAGTATCTCTCTCCTTTTGCAGGGCCTGCAGCTGCTGTTGGAGCTTAGCGATCTCTCTGTCTCTGTTCTCGAGCACCTCTTTGGTACCCCTTTCCATGTCCTGACCCATTCTCTTCTGCTCGGCTTTGAGTCTTTGCACCTCGGCTTTCTGTTTTTCGAGCTCGGCTTCGCTGTGATTCAACTCTTGCTGGAAGTTCATCAGCATGTCCTGGGATTTTTCTAATTGCATCACTAGCTGGTCCCTCTCCATGGTCAACTGTTTGATGTCAGCTTCGTACTTGATTATCTGCTTCTCCACGGACTCACCTTGTCTACCTTGCTTATCTAGCATAGAAGCCATTTTATCCCTTTCTCTCGACACCTAAAACACAAAATCAACATCTCAAAAACGCTTGGTGAGCTTATTTTTACCTGTGCCAGTTCTTGCTGAAGCTTGACTATAGTGTCTTGCGTCCTATGGTCCATGGTTCTTCTTTGTGTATCTAGCCCAGTTCTGATTTGCTGCATCTCGGCCCTCAATACATCTCTTTCCTGTTCCATTGTCTTCCAATCCAACTTGTCTCGTTCTATCCTTTCGTGCATCCTAGCCAGTTCTGTTGCCATCCTCTCGAACTCAATCTTGGTAGCTTCGTTGGTCTGCAAGGCGTTAGCTAGGTGTTGCTGCGACTTCTCTAGCTCCTGAGCTAGCCTTCCAGCTTCCAATTCTGTAGCATCGCGAGCTTGTATCGCTTTCTCCAGTTTTTCTTTCAAACGTTCAATCTCCAATCGCTCATCATTCCTGACCTTATCAGCTGCCAGAGTTTGTCTTCTATCTGCTTGGGCGATTTCTGTTCTCAGCTTCTCGTTTTCTTTCTCTAGCTTCTCGGTTTGCACTTTGAGCTTCTCGTACCTATCTCTCAGCTTCTCACATTCTATAACTGCTCGTTCTAGCTCGTGTCGTTGCTTGTCTTGACCTGCAGATAGTTTGGCAACTTCTTGTCTAGCTAGGTCTAGCTGTATGGTGATCTCGTGAACCTTGGTCTCGAGCTGTTGGTTGGTGTTGAGGGTTCTTTGTAGATCATCCTTCAACCTCTCCATCTCCAGGGTCTTTTCTTTCTCCTGGTCGAAGGTATATTTGCCTCTGGTGGATTCTACGAGGGCCAGTTCTTTTCTGGACCGGTCTAGATCTCCCAGGGTTTTATCGAGGCGTTCTCTCAGCCTATCGATCTCGGATCTCAATCTTTCGTTGTCGTCTTTAGACCGATCTTCTCTGTCGTATTTGGAGTATCTGTCTCTTCCGGATGGTGCTGCAGACTCTCTCAGAGCATCATATTCGGCTACCACTTTCCTGAACTCATTTTGTAGCTTATCGTGTTTGTCCTTAGCCTTCTCGACCTCAACTTGTAGTCTGGCGCTTTCTTCTTGGCTCTTCTCGTAGCTAGCTTGTACTTTAGCAAGTTGTCCGTGTGTTCTTTCGATTTCATATTGAAGACGCTCGTTTTCACCATGGAACTTCTCTTTTTCGCTTTGGTATCGTCTGAGTTCGATTTGAGCTTTCTCATAACGATCTCTGACCATTTCTATGTCGATGTTGAGGCGTTCGATCTCCTCTTTGGATTTTTCTTCAATCTCCTTAGATCTGAAACAAAAAACTATAATATCTCCTATGTTCTTATGAGGAAAAAGCATGTACCTTCCAAGCTGCATTGCTAATCTGTCGTACATTTCTTGAACCCTTTGTAATTCATCTTGGAGCTTACGTTGATCTTCACGTTGTTTCGTAGCCAACAGCTGTTGCTTCTCGATCTCCAGTTCGAAACGTTCTTTATCTGCTTGAACAGTGTCTAATTTATTTTGTAGTCTATATACATCGCTTTGAGATCTGAAATATCGAATGTCGATTATTATTCGTTACCCAGTATAGTGAGTGATAACATATACCTGTCGTATTTTTCCAGTAGTTTTTCAAAATCTTTGTGTATACTTTCTCTGTCATCAATAGCTTTCTGTGAGGCATATATGGCTTTCTCCAGCTTCTCTTTGATAATATCAATTTCAGATAAGGCGTCATCTCTTTCTATCTGCAGTTTTTGTTGCAGCGAGTGAGATTTCTCCCACCTGTCCTTGATTACATCTAACTCAGTCTCGATATCAGCACGTTCTCTTTGGGCCTTAGCTATCTGATTCAGCTGCATCTCCAATCTTTCCTTCAATTTTTCGCACTCGTCCTGGAAGCTATCTTTCTCCTTCTGAAGTCTCGATAGGGCATTCTGAAAGCATTGAGATGAATGATGCTAGTGCCGTTTCGTTAAATAATGAATCGCTTACCTGAGTTTTCTCGTTCTTGTCTCTAAGACGATCGACTTCGACCTGAGCCGACTCTTTTTCCTTTTGAAGCCGAGCAGACTGGCCTAGAACCTTGTCCAATTGCGACTGGATGTTCTCTAAGTCGTATACGACCTTTTCTTTCTCCAGTTGTATCTGAAACAGCAATACCGTGGGGATTAGAAGTCTGCAGACTATCTAAGGATTTCGACAAAACAAGGAAATCGCTATTCTCTCTGACAGCCAAGCAGCTATTAAAGCGTTTAGTTCTTTCAACATCCGTTTAAAGATGATTTGAGGATGCCTAGACAAACTCAACCATCTCGGCAGGAACAAAAAGGTGAAACTCTTCTAGGAGTGGAGTGGAGGGACATGAACAAGCAGACATTCTGGCACCAAAAGGAGCATCAACGCCAGTGATCGGACCAGAACTATTCTGCGGCTTCGGAAATTCTTATTTTAAAAGAGATCTTAATGAAGCTAAAAGAGCAATGAGAGCAACAAACTGGTGAAGACTTCCAGGACTGTGGCAGGCCAAAGATCTCCTCCGCAATTTCACACGAGCAAGATCAAAGACACTGATTAATCTCAGCAAAATTTTTAATGAGGCATGGTAGACTGAAAGAACATATGAGGAAGCTATAGGCTTAGAGGAGGACAGCAACTGCAGATTCTGTGGGGAATATTCAAATGGAACTCCCTGTACTCTATTCCTTCCTTGGATAGTTAAATGATACATGATAACATGGGTCTGAGAACACCCGTTTCGGACTAATCCATGATCTTCAATATGCACTCTAATTTCAAAACACTCTAAAGACGTTGTGGAAAGTTCTACATGTGCGTTCTTCGTTATGAATCTCTTTTACTATTCTTAAATATCAAAGAAACGTGCATGGAGAACTCAATCCACAAGGTTTTCAGAGGATTTCGAAATTAGACTAGTCATTGAAGTATACTACTACTAGTAGTATTCGAACGTAGAAGCGATAGCTAGCAACGCTGCACTCCCCCCACCATTCTAAAATGTATGGCAAGTACTCTCCCCAGAAGGTACTGCGGACTTACCCTTCTGGTCTCCCCAAGTGACTTGTCGAGCTTTTCTTGCAGCTTGTCGACCTCGGTCTGCGCCTTGTCCAGCGCGTTCTGCAGCTTGTCCTGTTGCGATTGGGCCTTTCCCAAGGTCGCCGACGTGCGTTCCAGTTCTTCCCGCGCCTTCTCCAGCTCTGCGTAGGCTCGGTCCTTGTCCGAGTGCAGCTTCGCTGTGGCGGATTGGGCGCGCTCCAACTCCTCTCGCAGACTGTCTTGCTCTTGGTGGGAGTTCTCTAGTCGGGCCTGGATGAGAGGAAATCGGTCAGCAAGGAGTAATGGCCGCGCGAATACCGTGAGGGGGTAATTTCGAAGAATTTCGAGGAAAATGTAAAAACTTCACAAACGATAAGATTTCCACAAAATTCTCAAACACACGAGATGTTTCGCTAACACAGTAGCTTCTTCAGGTGATATACTGGTACAATGAACATTTTATAGGTGATATACTGGTACAATTTTAAAAAACTTCATAATAAAGCTATTCAAGAAGTTCATCCTACTATCAAGAATAATAATCAAAATTATAGAACTTCAACCTATTTCGGATCATCAACTGAAAAATTAGCTTTATTTCTACATAAATAGGACTTAAAAGTAGCATATAGAACAAATAACACAAGGTTCATCAAAAATAATGAAGACAAAACTTCTGAATTCGAAAAATCAGGGGTATACAAACTCAACTGTGGATCTTGTCCTGAGGTATATATCGGTCGCACGTTTAATCAGACATACCTATAAGGCCATGTTGAAATCACATTATAAAATAAAAATGAAATTAAAGAGCCGTGGTCATTTGGCCAAAAATCAGTCCGGTAAAGGAATATTAGAATTTTTGAGCCGACTAAACAGCCAAAAGGATCCAACTATGTTGAACCTGATGATAATTGAAGATAATCTTCGGCGACTTTCCGGAAATTAATGAGAATAATATGAGGGAAAAATTTATATTTCGTATACAATTTTAGTATGCTGTTAAGCTCTTGGAACACCGCGAATTAATTACATAAGTAAGAGGCGAAACTTGTTATTCAATGGGTATTTTCTCACCTTGAGGCGATATACTTCCCCCTGGGACTTTTCAAGTTTTTCTTGTAACGCTGTAGCTTCTTGTCTAGCTCTCTCACTATCGGCTTGGGTAACCCTCAGCTCAGCCTGGCACCTTCTGAGGTCTGACGAGGACTTGTCTGCTCTCTCTTGCATCCTTCAAAAATAATAATAAATAATAATTAATTGTATTTTAATAAAGAAAGGAAGGAAAACTAGCAAACTCATAGATCCTTCACTCTTTTTACTACTTGTATGAAATCTCACTTGAGTTAGTTCTGAGGTGAAGATTATTGTGAGAAAATCAGGTACTGAGAGAGTCTAGTACTAGATTGCTCTTGGCAGCAAAATATTATGTTCATATGACTTTCTGCCAGAGCTGTCCCAAAGCATTGTTCATAGTGCTCTTTATAGCACTTAGAGCACTTTTGTGCTCGAATAAGCACTGTGCTCCCGACCACTTTATTGAACCAGTGCTTAGTAGTTAGTGCTTCGAGTATTTTACGAAAAGGCTTAGTGCTTAATAATCCCAGAGCGCTCCCGAGCATTTTAGTGCTTCGGGAAATGTTTGTTTCCATCTTGTTGGAAATAGATTACTTTTCTGTTTACTAAAAGTACATAATGTTTCGACGTGATAGGTTTATTTCATTACCCTTCCTGTGAATTCGTATAGCATAAAATAGATCTTAAACAAAGGCTATCAATTTGCAGCCCGACTATCATAAACAGTGTTCAGTCCTTGGTACATATAAATAACTATTGATTAATTTGGTATTTATGATATAAGTGCTAAAAGTGACATTTTATTTTGTGAGAAGGGAAGTTTGGGACACGACGCCGAAGGCGGAGTGTTCCATCCCTTCGAACAAAATAAAATCACTTTTAGCAGGTATATCATGCACTATTTTTTCTACAAACACCAATAAAAGTTCAAATTAACGCATACCTATTTCACATTAATTAATTGATAAAATTATTGTTAGTTTTGAATCCAATTTCATCTAATCTATTCATGAAACAAGTTGCCAAGGTACCTACACAAAAACCGAATTTGTTGATTTGTCTTTGTTGACAACTAACGTCAATCCCAAATTATTCTTTCTCGGTTCTTCGTTCCTCGATGGAAAGTGATCAAGTAAATGAATTTCTACCGCTGGAAATAGAAGATGCTGCCAGTAAAGCTGCTTCTGAATTATTGCCTAGTTAGTCAAAGCGGCAGTACGAGTTTTCCTTCTATATTTTCTCTCAAACATAAATCACTTTTAGCACTAGTGCTAAAAGTAATTCACTTTCAACACCAGTGTCATAAAATGACATTTTAGACACTGACAGCATGCGTCAAAAATAATACTTTTACTGACGTTTGTAGAAACAGATATTTCATCACTGCATTAAAAACTGAGGGTCAAGGTACGCGGCTGAGTTAACAAACAAAAATCATGTCAAAAAGTTTTTCAAGTGTATAAACATTTACTTTTTGAGTAAGTGCTTAGTAAACGCGAGCATTTTGTCAATAAAATTGCTTGGTGCTCCAGATCCCGGAACACTCTTCAAGAGTGCTAAGTGCTTAGTATTCGAAGCCCTTTTCGTCAGTGCTGGGCACAGCTCTGCTTTCTGCAGAGGTTATCTAGATCCCCACTAAACAAATTTGGAAGCTATGTTGATGCAAGGTTTGTTTGTAATTGTAATGGTCCAGCAATGTTACAGCAACATGCCATTATCAAACTTCACTTCTGCAATATTGCTGTTTCAGTGATTGCTTCAACATTGCATCAACATAGCTTCCAACTTCGCCTAGTGGGACGTTTTCTAACCTGTCTAGCTCGTGTGAGCTGCTGAAGGTGACCCTGCCGAATGATGAGGTGGTGCCAGGTCCTCTCTCCGACTCGCTTCTCAGCCTCTCGTTCTCCAGCTCCAGCCTGGCCAATCTTTGCCTGGCTGCCTCCCAATCGGCGCCACTTCTACCGACTTCCACAGCTGCCTTATCCAGTTCCGCCTTGGATTTGCCTAATTCTGATTGGGAACTTTCCAGTTTGGCTTCCAGACGGTCCCTGTCGTTTTGTGCCCTGAAGCAATGGATTCGTGACGTTTCAGGCGGAGACATATCGTTATCTTTTTACCCGCATTTATTTCAAGCGAGGCACCAACTTTGGAGAAGTTTGAGGAAGTTCGCCAAACGAGATTGCGATTTCTGAGATACAATGTTTCCGTTGCAGCATATAGCGAAGACCGCAGGGAAGATTTCTAAAGTTTTCAACTGGAGTTGTGCAGTTTGGAGCTGAAAATTGCGGCTCCAGAAATCACGGTAACTTTTGGTATCGATTTATTTATTTGGAATTGTGTATGTTGATTCGATTTACTGGATCATAGGACCGAATTGATGATGATGATGATGATGTTACCACCCAAAACGAAAATTGAAGGATTCCAAGTTAAAATTTGGAATTCGGAAGTGATATCTCGACAGATTGTGTGCATTATGGTGTTTTTTTATCGCTTGGTGCGCACGAAAGGGAATCCTTATAATGTTCGAAGAACATTAAGGAGGATAGGGAGATGAGGTAGGTGTTGGAATTTTTTTCACCTTTTGTATATCATAAGTTCTTGGGATTACTTCCCTAGGCAATGAATTCCAGAGCTTTCCCGTTCTATAGAGAAACGAGTTTTGATATCGTGATGTTCGACATAATTCGAGGTTGACAACGAAAGGATGTGCTGACTGCGCTTGTCGAGTTTGTCTGACTGATATTGCTAGTCATGGAATGATAGAGATTCTGAAGAACATTTTCCGTGGAAATATCTTTAAAAAAGTGAAAGATCGCCAACCTTTCTACGGTGTTCCAATGATGTCGAAATGTTAGTGAGTGTGGCATCACCCACCAGACGAATGGCTTTTCTCTGGATGGAATTTAAGGGCATCAGAGTATGTTTAGGTGCTGAACCCCATATGTGAGAACAGTATTCTAGACAGGTCGTATCTGTGCTTTGTAAATCATGAGAAGCTGTTGAGGTGTAAAGTAGCGTTTTGCACGGAATAAAAATCTGTGAAGCAGCTTTCGCGTGGTATTTGATATGATTATCCCACGAGAGAGTATTGCTGATGGAGAAATCGAGCATAGATGTAGTTGACTTGGTGGAAATGTTAGTATCAGACATTGTTATATGTAGTAGTAGTAGTTTATTGAAAATTTATTCAATAGACTAATTATCCCAAGGAGACAAAATTATTTACATTCAAATACTGTAATGTTTTCTACTGTAAGTTACTATTATGACCGACGGCATTTATTTTGATAATGGTGGTGATACTGTGTCAGAGTTGCTTTGGACAATATTTCATACGAATAATCTATCAAATATGTACCCAGCAAACTATTCCATTTTGTTCTTGCTCGAAAGGCGACAACGCTACTCTGTGACAACGCTGCTATTCTTGTATTAATAGTTTGGTGTGTCGATAGTCTTGATACTCTTATTAATACTATATGAAATCTGACAGCTTCGGCATCAATCGTTGCCATTACTTAGCGGTGTTGCCACAAAAGTCGTCATTACTTTTGAAAGATAATTTACATTATTTTCCATGTTTAACAATTATCCTAGAAATTCAGTGTGAAATGCTTTGTAAGTGCTAACTTACTCAAACAGATTCTTATGTTTTCTTTCATAGATACGAGTTCCTATTTGTTTACCTCGCTGACTCGCTGACAAGGAGGTTTGATTAGGATTCCTTTTGTCATCTTCATGGAATCATTGGGGCAAAACTAACCAAATTTCTCTCGAATGTGTCATGAAAACACGAATTTTATCCACGAAATACAAACAACATTTTGTGTACAACTTTGAAAGTGAATTTTCAAAATTTATATTTCTATAACAAAATATCGAATTGTACATCTTCTTCCAAACGAATTGAAATACCTGATAAAATTGTGGAATCAACGCTTCAAGAAATATCTAACGTTTTTGATCAGCAGCAACACGGAACATCTTCGGTAATTTACGTTGGAAGTAATTGTGCAAACACTATCAATTATTATTCCGATGATTGAAATTGTTTTATGATGAATAATCAATTAATAATTATTGACTTTGTTGAAAGTAGCGAGGCTAATAATTCAGCCAAAGCAGCACATAGGCTGAATACCTTCTACTACTTTACTACTACTCCACTACTTTGCTGCCTAATAAAACAAATAACTATTTTTCACTGTGAAAAAAGTTTACATTTCCGCTTCAATAAAGCTGCAGAATTTGTCAAGTTTGTTTGACATTTGTACAAATATTTATTTGTTTCACTAGGCAGGAAAGCACAAGATTTAATGCCGCGGCTGGCGTTTCATAGCCAAAGCGTCGCCGAGGCTAGGAAACCAGCCAAGGCACTAAAAGATCTGCTTTTCAGCCGTGTGAAACATATAATTTTTTCTCCAAATTCATCCAATTTCACGCAAACTCCTAATGATCCATCATTTTGTGTTCACCCAACCTCAGTGTCAATTTTGATTACCAATTTGATTCGAATTATTACTTGGAACGTGTCATTAAGAAGACACTTTTGATGTGATTTGGAGAAAAAAATGATTTCGAGATGAAATCCTCACCTTTCTAATCTAGCAGTCAATTTCTCCACCTCACTATTGAGCCCGTGGATCTTCATCTTGTACTCTGCTATCTCCCTCTCATGCAAATCCCTCTCCTCGTGCTTCTCTTGTTCGGCCCTGTCTCTCTGATCTCTCAGCTGGTTCATCTGTTTCTCTTTGTCGCCGATGGCCTCTTCTAAGGAAGAAAGGGCCCCTTCGGAGGAACAGTGGTGAGCCTGCATCGCAGACAATCTGGCACGTGCCATGTCCACTTGGTTGTCCTTTTCTTTCAGTAGGTCTTCTAAATTCTCTACCTGAAATGGAATATTGTCCATGGAGTGAAACTGATGGTTGGTATCAAAGATAGGGATATGATATTTATGTTAGTTGATGGGATGAGTTGCAATCGGTAGATGCACAGCTGTCGGTCAATTATTGATCATAAGCATTTTCCTTATTTTTTATGATATTGATGTTAGTTGAAGGGAGGAGTTGTAATCGGAAGATGTGGGTCAATTTTTTTCATCGCTTGGAGCGCACGAAAGGAATAATGTTCAAAGTACATCGTGCGTTCCTAGGGAGGATAGGGACAGGATGTAGGTATTGGAATTTTTCTTCAACTTCTGGAGATTATATGTTGTTGGGAATACTTCCTCAGGCAATGAATTCCAGAGCCTAGCCGTTCTATGGAAGAAGGAGTTTTGATAAAGTGCTGTTCGACATATTTCGAGGTTGACAACGAAAGGATGTGCTGACTGAGCTTGTCTAGTTCGTCTGACTGGTATTGCTAGTGAAGGGATGATAGCAGAGATTTCCGAAGAACATTTCCCGTGGAAGTATCGATAGAAAAGTGAAAGGTCGCCGACCTTTCTACGGTGTTCCAATGATGTCAAAGAGTGAGTGGGTGTGGCGTCACCCACCAGGCGAATGGCTCTTCTCTGGATGGAATCTAAGAGCATCAGCGTATGTTTTGGTGCTGAACCCCTTATGTGGGAACAGTATTCTAGAACAGGCCGTATCTGCGCTTTGTAGGTCATGAGAAGCTGTTGAGGTGTAAAGTAGCTTTTCGTACGGAACAAGAATCCGAGTTTCTGTGAAGTAGCTATTGCGATGGATCTGACTTGATTATCCCATGAAAGAGTGTTGCTGATGGAAATACCGAGCATAGATATGGTGGGCTTGGTGGGGATGGTGGAGCCAGACATTACAATATCGGGCATACTGAGTTCCGCCTTTCTAGAGAAAATACAGGCTTGAGTTTTGGTGGCGTTGAATTCAACTAGGTTGTTGGTTCCCCAGGCTGTGATTTCAGCAAGGTCTTCATTGACAGCATTGACCTGCCTGCGCTGTGAGTTCTTAGTTTCCTGGGGAGAAATGGGAATTCTGGAAGAGAACGCAGTATGGAGGGTACTATCATCTGCAAAGCTGTGGATGGAGCAAGTTGTTACTCCCAGCAGATCATTGATATAAAGAAGGAAAATTTTGGTGCCAAAATTGATCCTTGTAGAACGCCGGAATTGATGCCAATGGTATCAGACGATACACCGTCCACCACCACGTGAAGCGATCTGCCTGAAAGAAAACTCGATAAGAGATGGCATAGCTGAGGTGGTAAGCCGTATGATGGTAGTTTGTGGAGGAGTCCTTCGTGCCAAACACGGTCGAATGCTTTCGATATGTCCAACGCGACAGCTAGAGATTCCCCGTGTTTTTCTAATGAAGCTTGCCATAAATGGGTAACGTAGGCAAGTAGATAGATAATTATAAGCAGATTCATTTTTTTCTTCATCGACATGCTTCGGTCCCGCTCAAAGTTTCATTCGTACAGTATGTATACCTGAATTCGCGACATTATTTGTCCACAGGACTGGCAGAAATTTTTCGCAAATTAGGGATTTTTTACTGCGTCAGGAAAAGCGTTATTTTGGTGTGAACATCACCCCGTATTTGGCAAACTAACGACTCAATGCTAATTTATTTTTCAGAATCTTTGAAATAGAAGGGTGATCATTGTTCGACTTCAAGAAGAAATAGAGATGACTTCTCTAAGTTGATAAGATCTTTTGTTGACTATCATCATGCTTTTGTGTTAGTAATGTTAATTTTGAGATTTCAATGCGGCAGATACTTACTCACTTACTTACTTCGATATAATACATCCTTACTACTTCCACTAATTTCACTCACCAACAAGAATTACTAACTCTTTGTTTCATTTCATGTATTTAAACCAATTAGGCGCAGCTATAGTTGTCTTGTGGAAGAAACAATGATAATGACACTATTTGCACTTTGCACACAATGGTATTCCTCACGTTTTGGCTAGATATCTACTCATTTACTGTCAACTTCTCGATATTGTAGATGGAAGTAAAGGTTATCGAAATCCGCTATCTGACGCTGAGTGTAGATAAAAATGTTTATTAAATTTTCAGAGGATCATAGAAGTTTGTTGCTCGCTTCTTGTATTGAACTTTTGATCCTCAACCATTGGTCGAGACAATAGGTTTTTTCAATTTTCAAACTAGAAGCTATAGAATGCTGCTCGTATGAGAATCTTCTTCTGTGTGCATGTTTGATATATCATTATTTGAATTAACACAATCATAGATTTCCGGTTATATTTGCACAATCGCATAAAAATTACCGATAATTTTGCAAGAAAGCGTGTTATCTAAAAATTGCATGAATTTAATTTCATATTTTGGCGAAGGAGCGCGAGTCCGAAGGAGGAGCGATCTTTATTTTACAAAATATGGAAATAATTGAATCCAATTTGTATAACACGCTTGAATGCAAAATTATCTGGTCATTTTCATGCACGAATGTAATTCACTGAAATATTTCACGAATAAAAAAATTCTCGAAGAAATGTTGTTTTCTTTATAGAGCACTCACATTTTGAAGTGGCGATACGGTTTCAAATGCTGTTATGGCGACGGGATTATTTTGCAGTGCAATCTTCGCTCTGCAGTGCAATCACCACTGTAATTTTTCGAAAATTGCATTTCTCTTATGAGAAGAATATTCGAGAAACCAAACAAAATGATATGCATGAATTTTCCTCATACAGCTATGAAGTTGACCTCAAAATATTGACAAACTCCATTACATTTTTTAGGTTCTGGAATGTCAACTTTTCTATCCTTAACCGATAATAGGTCTGAACTTGTAGGTATGTTAAATCGCAACGGTCTGCGTAATATAAGTCTATTGTTTGCCGACACACATGCATACGTTTTCAACAACTGTCTGAACAGATTAGTCTAATTTGATTTTTGTACCTGTAGTTTACGGCATTGGCTTGATTGTCTAAAGACATTTATGTAATTTTATCTGTGTGGTGTGTGCCTGTACCTATACCATCTAGTCTACATCATGGACTTGTATGTATACCTACGTTGAAGGCTATTTCATATGGCATTATTTTCTGTAGTTTGTCTGCAGTTTATACACATAACTGTGGCTTGTATGTGAAAGTGATGTGTAAACTTGTATGTAAAACTAGAGTAACCTTCCTCTGGAGCACGTTGATTCTCCTCAACAACTTGTGAGGGAAATCATGATCTAATTGATTGTCTGTGCCTGGAGACATATTGTGTGTAGTTTAATCCTCGTCCCTTTCGTTTCACATTGACTTGTATGTATAATTTATAATTGCCTAAAGACAATTTTGTAATAGCAAAAATGCCCTGTATATCTGTTACGAATAGGCGAAATATATTTTTTCACACTCACCTTGACTCACCTTGTAATTGATTGTCTGTGTCTGAAGACATGTGTGTAGTTTGATCTTTGTGTAATATTATCGGTACCATCTAGTCTGCGGTATAGATACAGATAGGTGAGCTTGTATGTAAACGTAATGTGTAAACTTGTATGTAAAACTGTAGTTACCTTTCTCTGGAGCACGTTGATCTTCCTATCCTTGATGTCCATGTGCTCCCGCATCTCAGCGACCTCTGCAGCCGCTCTGGCCCTCTCCTGCTGGAACTGCTGCGTCTTCTTCTCGATGTGTCTGTTCTTCTCGTCCATCCGCTGCCGCATCTCCTCCACATCGGCCTGCAGCATGTTGTAGTGCTCCTCCTTGGCGCACAGCGACTCCTTCAGCACCGCAATGTGCCGCTGGTAGTCCTGGTGCTGCTCCTCCAACGTCTTCATCTTCGCCCCCATGGCGAGGATCTCCTGATCCCGGCGCTGAATCTCCACGCGAAACTCGTCCAGCTGCACATACGAGCAGTAGCATGCACTATCCATGCGGGGCAAAAGCGACAGTGAGGTGGTAAAACTGAACTTAAGCGGCCATAGAGTCTTTGTCTCTGTACCTAGTTACATTCTGATAACTGCACCGTCTTTGCCGATTTGCACGTCGTTCAACAGAAAACTTACTTGGCGCTTGAGGGGCGGAGCCTGTGGCGCGAAGTGGGCGTGGCCTGGGCGTGTCAAGCGGTCGACCTCGCCCTCTAGCAGGTGGACCTCGCGCTCGAGCGTGGCGATGCGCGCGTCTTTGGTGTCGAGGAGCACCTTGACGGTGCTGCTAGAGGGCGAGGGTACCAGCTCCAGCTGGCTTTGGAGGGTACGCAACGTTTCGTTGGCCGCTTGCAACTCCTGCAGAGGGAATGAAGGGGCGTCAGAAGGCTGAGGGGCGGGGCCCGAGGGACGTACCGGCCGTTCGTTCGCGCTTTACCACCACCATCGGATTCATTGTTGGACACATTACCAAGAGTACCGAGGGCCAAGTCGAAACACCAAGTGTGTACACGAGCCTTCAGAATCAAACATGCTTGATTTCGAGGGACTATTCCAGTATCTCAGTTTATCAAGATTGTGGACAAGCCATTATGATGTTCCACCTGTACCTACCGGTGTTTGTCTGTCTGTGTATGTTTGTAATCACATCTTGCAAGTTGAATAGGAGTAATAGGACACATATCTAATAATCGTCCGATTGATTTGGAATTTGGCAGGAGTACATAGTTCTCGTGACAATGCATCATGAGATTTTTGTTAGAGAAAAAACAAAATGGCGGATGACTTTTGTAATTATCATCCGATTCTATTGTCACGTTTGTTGTTTCCTTAATTTCATTCAAATTCATAGAAGGTTCGAAGTCATTGAACGGTCACGTCTTTGTTTATCAATTCCAAAATTTTCGAATCGTGAACGAACTTTTCTCCATAGTAGTTGAACATAAACACAGGCGTGACAGTGACTTCAACGAACCTGGACTATCGACCTGATTTCCTTACTGTCACGTTTCCGAAAATATAGACAGCTATTCAAAAGACGTAAGGAAGTGGGTTCGTTCGACAGTTCGACTACCGGTTCGACTGCCAGTTCCAGTTCTAGCTGTTTTTGTTATACGAGTTAGGGAAGTCTAAGTTCTACCGATTATGAGTTTGTAAAGTCGCCACTGTGCCCGAATCTTCGGAGTTCGGGCAGAACAGAAGATGCCCTTCCTCACAGGAATATTATAGTTCATTTGTACATACAGGGTAAGTTAAGTTTTTGGTAATTGTTAATCATTAATCAAAGAATAAATGTGTGTATGTTCTGTTTGAAAAACCCTTTTGAGTATTATTTATTATTATCACTTTTGAAGTTCATTCTCTGATGGATCTAGAGCACAACTTAGGCAACCCCCGCCTACAGTTTGTGACACTATTCAAAATTTGTATCTGGGGGTTTTCTGGGTCGGAAATTATGATGCTTTCTTCAAAATTGAGAAAATCAAGATGGCACCTCCAAAATGACGGATGAGTTTGGTGATGAAGGTTCGATTATATGCAAAATTGGTATAGGTATGGGAGCCTTTGTTGTCGGATTTTTACAATTAAAAGCTTTTATTCAATTTCACCTGTAGTGATGTCTGTGAGTGTGTGTTGTGCATTTTTGTAAGAGTTTGTCGTCTTCAAAAATGTTTCTTATAAAATGTTTTTCTCATTTGTCGGACATTATCCTCCATATACTTACCGGATGTTTCGAATTGGCGACCACAACAAATTACAAAAAATTTAAATGACGTTAGTAGCGAACAACTTTACAAAGATGATAACAACCAACATGCTGAATGAATTTGGGAAGCCAGTGTATCTAGAAATATGTATCTGGGACTCTGGTATGAACCAGCAAATAACCAAATACCTATGCTTATATATACCAACAGTAAGTTACTTCTACCAGTTAGCGTACCTACCTATTGAAACCGAATGAAAAACTAAGACATGAACTTAAAGCAGCGTTATACTTATGTTTGTTATCGGTTCATACCAGACCGTTCGATTTTATTTTTTCAGAGTGCCAGAGCATTGGGTGTTCTTATTCTATAGGGTTTCTAGGTACAACGGATTCTCAGGTATCTTGATCATGTGCCAAATGATATAATATGATCTACCACGGTCACACATACCCTCACGTACACACTACTCATCCATCGTGATCTCAAAATAATACATAGATGATTCATCATCATCATCATCATCATCATAATTCGTTTACACTCATCCATTGGCTACACCTGTGATATATTTTCTTCAGAGACAAAATTTCGAAAAACCTAAATCGTAGTATACAGAGTGTTTGGTGGTGAGAACATTTCAAACGTATTTAACTATATATTCTATTATAGAGAGTGTTTCGAATTTCGACATATAATCGTTTTCTCAATTATTTAATTATCTGACTGTATCTTTTTTTTTTAAGAAATTGAATACGAATTTCATCCATCTTGAACACGTTATGGGATCTAAATGTAAGAAAAATTTTTTTTGGCTCGTTAGAATTCAGAAAACGAAGTTAATATCGAGGATTTCTCAAAAAGTGTAACACTTTGTATAATAGTATATATGGGTTTAATATGTTCAAAATCAAATAACCTACCACCTCCTTATTCCGGATATACGTCGGTGAACCAAACACCCTGTATATAAGAGCACTTGCGAGGATATCATAAGGATACTAAATTGGACGAAATGGTGTATGTAGGTGTTTGAAATGCAATAGTATAGGACATTGAGACTAATAATTTTGAAATAAACAACCTTCTACTCCTTCTAGGGAATGTGATTTTGAAATAGTTTCTTCTGCTAACATCAAAATCTTGAGAATGTGAAGAAATGAAATACTGGGTTTTTGAGGATGTTTGTTCTAAACCTGATAGGCAAATAAATATTAACAAAGCTTTTTTCAATCGAACCTTAACGCCCTATTTTTATGTGATGGTGCATTTTTTGTGGTATGTTAATCGAGATATGTCCCGTTATTTTGCTAGACTCTTAATTGTCATCTTTCAAAATTATTGTAGAAAATTCTGAACCACCCTGTATAGAAGGAAAGGTCTAACAAATATCATTTGATGGCGTGAACTCTTGCTCTTATGAATGAGATAGCATTGAAGACTTCAGAATGAATGAGCTGAACCCATAGATAATGCATAAATGTAATGAAAATCATAGTATCTAGCATACTACGCTCTTTTCAGCCATTTTGTAAATATTTATATCTGTAACAATAAGAGAATGTTTGATGAAACCTTGTACTTTAAGGTTCTGTCAAAATATTCTTTTCATTGGAATACGATTCCACATCAATGATCTGGAAGTATAAAAAAACAAATGAAGACAAGGAAACATCGGATGAGTCGTTGGTTTCTTAGTAGTGAACTGCCTTTTGAATAAATGTTTCCATTTCGCTCAATTCAACATATTATAGAGAAATGGAGTTGTCTCAAGAACCATCCACAAGTTAAGAAAATTTAACACTCACTAGGACATAATATAGGCATCGAAGAAAATCAAAACAAGGACATGAAATTGACTTTCTAATATCTTGCATAAGTTGAGAAAATTCCTCGGAAAATGCTTCGAAGACAGGGGAGGGAAAAACAGGTATATTATTCGTGAGGAAAACTTAAATCATCATACGTATCTAGCGAGTGGAAGGTACCATTTGCCTCCGATTTGTTCTGTTGGCATTTATTTTCCTTATAGAAGAGAATTATGACATGAACCCTGGAAAAAATATCACACGAAAAAATGTAACAACTTTGTAACACTTTGCTATATTCAATTGAGAAAACATAAGAAAAAAGATCGAAAAATATGACAAAGTAATAATGTGTATTCGATTATTAGATCGCCACTATAATTATACAGTGTGGCCCATTTTTAATGGAAACATCCCCCTAAAATTCGAAGTTGTGAACCGATTTCAATAATTTTTGTATGCAATGGCAAGTACTAAAAGGGCTACCTTGGGACAAAATTTGAAATGTTTATTCCAATTTTCAAGGCATAATACGATATTTCTTCTTAGTCGAAAATCGGGATTTTTTATTGAGAAAATCACTACGCCACTGGATTCACACTGCCTCTAAACAGGTGTGACCAAAATCTATATCTGTTGTTAAAAGGTGTTTTTTGTGACTGTTAGCTGTGTGAGTTTTCGAAATTTTGAGCTGTCATAACTTTGTTATTAATGAATATTTTTTCATGAAACTTTGGTCATACTCGTTAAGAGGCAATTTGAATCCAGTGGTGTAGTGATTTTTTCGATAAAAAAATCGCTAATAAAAATTCCTGATTTTCGAATAGGAAAAAATATCGTAGTATGTCCTGAAAAATTGGAATGAACATTTCAAATTTTGCCCCAAGGTAGACCTTTTAGTACTTGACATTTAATAGAAAAGTTATCAAAATCGGTTAACAACTTCATATTTTAGGGGGGTGTTTCCATTAAAAATGGGTCATACTGTATATCTCTATATAGATGAGCAATATTTAGTTTGTTGTGATCGATTATTTTGAGGACACGATGCGTTTTAAGATAACAAAGTGATAAGCACCTGCTTTTGGGCCATAGCCTGCATCTGTTGGAACATCTGCCTTTCTTCCTCTTTACCTGAAACATACCCAACACCCAAAGCATTAATCCCGACCCCGGGAAATTGAAAGGATTCAAAACATTTGTCACATTATCGGCAGGGCTTCATACTTATCGCCCTAACTGTAAATTGGCTTGATCATCATTAAAAAACAACAACCCCTTTTACTGGTAGGTCGAATTGTCTTTAGGGAGAATTTTTGAAATATGACAAATCCTAGAAATCCCTCCACCTCCACTAAAATGCATGAATATCTAACACCACAGTGCGATTTTCTGTTTTTCAGAAGACATTTTCAGGTATCAGAGTGTGCCATGGCACTTGCGCTTTACGATATTAGACTCATCTGTATCTGTCCTCTATGACAACCGCATCACCATCTTGTAGGCACACAGGGCGTTCAGATCATAAGGTCAAACCAACATAGAGTCGTGGTGTAAGTTGATTTTGAAAAATCAAGTAGCTACCACTCAAATTAGAAATGCTTAAAATTCAGAACTATATTGGAGTTGATGCGAATAGAAATTTTGCGGTTGAAAATAGCACCAGCAAATGTCACATCATTGGCTCAATATTAGCATTTTTCAATGGTAAATCACAAAAAACCGCTGGCCGACTCAACACCACTATTGGCTAATAAGTATACTTTACCTACGGCCACTATAGAAAGTAGGCAAGAACACAGCCTTAGCCTCAGTAAGTAGCTTTTTACGCACAGTAAACTCATCGCACTGTTCTCGTTTATTCCGCCAATCATGATCGCGTAATCGCCGTCAACAGCGGATGACATAACTGTCAAGAATTATGATTCAGACTGTTTGTCCAAACTTACTGATGTACTATATCGCAGTAGGTAAAGTATAGTACGTAATGTGTGTTGTAAAGCAATTACGCATTCGTGCGTAATATGCTTCTTACCACACATATTACGTAATATACTATTCCTTTATTGTTTAATCATTGTTGGCCCAGTGATGACTGACTGACGTATTGTCAGTGCATTACCACTGGAAATTAAGTGGTTTATTCTCACACAGATAATGGGGAAGACCACTGATTTTTAAAATGACATTATCGTGAACTCCATACTGAAAAACTACCAGCGAATTAATTTCGAATTTGGCATTCATGCTAAGACGATGAAAATAATAAATTAGAATATGTCCATCTCAAAACACACAATTCCTGCACCATTTGAAATTTTGTCAATTCATTGGTGTGACTTGTGCGACGTCTTATTCCCAACACGCCTATTGTCCTTGAACTGACCAATCACACTGCAACACTGCAGAATGACGAGGTATCAGAGAGAGATAGCTACAGTTCGGGACTAATACGTCACGACTCCCATCATATTTGGCTGTTTGAAATATCGAATGAAATATGCTGATTTCAAAACGATATAGATTCGATTCCCTTCAACTTTAACTCGTAATATTGATTGTACATCAAACGTGAATTATGATTCGTCGATTGAAAGAGGTTTGCACAGATTTCTTCTCTCAGTGGTCTTCCCCATTCGAGGTTTCTTCTGTAGTGGAAGTATTATTGCACTCATAATAATAATAATACCTAACTACAATCAAAACAAAGCTAAACTTCTCATATTAAGCCAAAATTTCGTGAAATGAAAGATTATAGAGCACATCAATTATCTTTTCTCAAAAGAATTATTATTGGTCCATTGCGATCTGATTGAAGACTTTATATGACACTGAAGTATACATATCGTTAAATCATCGATAATATTATTCTGTCAGTATCAGCATTTCTCCAGAAGAAGCGTCACCTACTATATCTTCTTATTTGGAATGTAGTATATAGTTCGCTTACTACCCGTAGCACGCCCAATGTTCCTTTTCGGGTACCAAATGCAATAAATGTCGACAATATCGATAATATCGGAAACTCATAAAAAATTGTCAATTTATCGATAATAATTCATTATTCCAGATTTGTTGGCTTTTTCAACATAAAAAATGGATACTTGGTATTGCGAATTCGTATTTGTCCCGACACTTTTCAGTTCTCTGTGACAATTGGTGACGTTGGCAGTCAAATGAGTTATAGGATGTTTTCATTAATTAATCTTGAGTTTACCATTTTCATTTTCAAATTTCAGTAGTGACCATGTTCTATCTATATCAAGGAATCTGCTTGCATTCTTCCGATCGGAGACCATAGCATTGCTTCCTGTTCAGTTGATATAGATAGATAGATAGATGACTCCATTGTGTTATTATTTCAAAAAAATCTAATCGCTCATGGAAAGTCAAATGTGAAGCAATGACAGTTCTGTCTAATAGATGAGCATTACTTGACAGGAAATCAGATGGCTACAAGACGAAGAAATCGAAAATGCCGCTATTATCTATTATAGCCGTAGAAAAATTATAGTGTAGAACTTGCACGAAATGCTAATTTCCTACTCGAATGATTGCAGCAATCGCCTATGGCTCATGCTGCAAACTTCATTCTCGTAGGAAATTACTCTCATTCCGTGCTCGTTGAACAATATACTATATTAATTCCCCAATGCCGTAAAAATTATACATGGATTTTTACAAATTAAAAGTTTGTACCATCATTATGAAAGTGCAATATAAGTATTATATTACCAAAACAGCAAAACATAAGTACCTACTTTTTTATTGCCGACAAAAAGTACCATCAGTTTGTCATCAAGTAAATCAATGGACCATTGTATCGCCATCAATAAATAAGTACCTACTTTTTTATTACCGAAAAAAAGTACCATCAGTTTGTCATCAAGTAAATCAATGGACCATTGTATCGCCAGCAATAAATAAGTACCTACTTTTTTATTACCGAACAAAAATAACCATCAGTTTGTCATCAAGTAAATCAATGGACCATTGTCTCGCCATCAATAAATAAGTACCTACTTTTTTATTGCCGAAAAAAAGTACCATCAGTTTGACATTAGTAGTAAATCAATGGGCCATTGTATCGCCAACAATTCCATGTTTGCTGGTTCGCAATTCAGAATTCGTGTTTTGACATAAAACACACACTGAAACCTTTTGGATCTGCCTCGGATTCGAACATCCTGTGTGCCGTGAAATTACAGTATATAGACCACACACCAAGAAATATCATGTGAACGAAGATATATATGTGCAGGGTGAAGCGACAGAAATGGGGATGAAACGAGAACAAACCACTTACCCATTCCTTTGTTCTGGAGCATCTCGAGCAGTTTTTTGATACTCTCGTCGCGCGCCTGAAGCGTTTGTTTCTGCGTTTCTATCCTCAACTCCAGTTCCTGAGAAAAAAGTAACAATGAGTGGTCAGTAATTGAAGATGAGTACAACAAGAGTTTGTCAGATGTTTCTGTCTTTTTCAACAATGGAGTATAGGACACCTCTCGGATAATTTGAAGTTTCTCTTCTTCTTTTTCATTCCACCAACCAGAAGCTATTTTAATCCTCATTGATTCTTTCTAATCACATATAATTTTCGAATAGTTTGATTCTATAGAGAAACTAATTAGTGTTATTCGTAATCATCGTGTGATCGAAGATCGAAGCAGGTTTGGTTACCAGCATCGTAGCATCAGAACGAATCACTTGTCGATGTTGTATTTTTATAAACGGTCATCTTTGTGCAAGCCGTCGTGAGTGATTAAAAATGTGTTTGAGTGTTGAAATTGTGTCTATCTACGATGCCTCCATTTAGAATCTTATACTAGCTAAATATTCACTATTTCGACATTACCTTGATGGTGTCTCGTAAGATAGCAATCTCTCTAGTCAAATGTTCGTTTTCTTGATAAAGAGCCTCCATTTGCTGTTGGATTTCTATACTGGGTCCCCGCATTCTCATTCGCAATTCTTCTTCTAATTGACGGACTAGCATAGCTTGTTTCTGAAAACGAAAACCTCAGTCACTATCACGTTTCAATCATCGCTGAAAAAATAATGTGTTTTGCGCTGGAACTCTCATTGCTCATCTACTAAATTTGCTTTCTTGATAAACACAAACATAAATAGTTATGAGAATTTCAAGATATTGGATATCTATAGACATTATTTGGGTGGAACAGTTAAATTTGATCTCGAATTTGATAGAAACATGTAATACTAACAATTTATACCTACGAATTCTCATGCAAATAAGAAACCTGACATTGGTTCAAGGTTCAACCCTTCTTGGCTAGTTTCTCCTCTCTTTGGGCTGTGAATTCGTCAAGAGGTGAACAATGGATTCTATTCTAAGACTATAATAAACGAGATAATAACAGCCATGAGAATGGAAAACAGAAATGAGTTCTTCAGAAGTCATAAAGCTCGTTTGTGAAGGGCATTACTTTTACGATTACAACTTCCACAAGTGGACAGGATGAAAATGAGATATTTCTTCATAATGATATCTCATATGTCAACACTGGAAAAATAAACGGGTAGAACATTTTGGAAAATGTAGGGCACATAAGTGAAAATTCGTTGTATTTGACAAATTGTGTGAATGAAATAGATAACTGTGTAAAAAAATAAATGTTGTTGGATTCTAACAATAGTGTGCATACGAATCGTCCTATTTATACCATGATGGAGAAGAAATTAGCGTTCCTGTGTGCTCAATTTTATTTAATTTGAGCTTAGTCAGTGATATCGGGCATCAAGAGTTAGCCTTAATTAAAATCCTCAACAAGTCATATCCCCATTCATAACTAGAAAGCGCATATTCAATGGGAAACTCGGTGGAAATATCTTTTTCATTTTCCGTCTCGCAGGAATTCTTGGAATTGTTAGCGAAACTGGCCGTGCATTATGAAAAACAAATATCAGAGAAATGTGGAAGGTGAGCCAGCGTGAAAAATGTGGAAATACCTACTGCGAGGGAAATTTCAGAATAATATGTAGCGATGCAAGTGGATTTGTGTCACTAGAAGGTTCTGCTGATTCGAATATTTTTGCTTCAATTCTTTTTTCACTTCGTTTCACACCTCTTCCAATTGTATTTCAGAAAACATCAATCGTATCGCAGAATAGTCAATTGTATTTCAGAATAGTCAATTGAATTTCAGAAAGTGTCAAATTTATTTCAGAAAAAATCATTTGAGATACAATGGACGTTTTCTGAAATAGAATTGACTATTCTGAAATACTTTCTGAAATAGAACGGGAAAAGTTGTAGTAGATACTGATGAATTTGAGGTCAAACAGAAATGAATAGCATCTTCTTGTTATTATCCTTCTTCAATGACCTGCTGTGTATACTGTTTCATAATAGTGAATTCCCCAATATAATGTCTGAATGTAGAATGTGGAAATTATTGAATTAAATGAGTTCATTCAAACTTCATAATTCAGCTTTGCCTAAAAGCTCTTCAATGCATGGTTCTTGCCACTGAACCGCCCTGTATAGTTAATCTCGAATGATATTGAATATATTAAGGAGTTTTCAAAAAATAATGGGGTTCATGTCTAACAGAGAATTTTGCGCAGAATCCAGTATCGTACTTAAAAATGTTTTCGGGGTTTGGTTTTGGAGATACGACACAAACTTATATATTTTTCAATGGAACCCTGTATTTTATTATCTCCTTGAATTTTTTTTTCCTTCAAAATGATACGTAACATTTTATACATACAGTGTGACCCATTTAAGATGGAAGCACCCTTATAAAAATTACATTTTTCAACCGATTGGAATGATTTTTTTTTTGTTAGGTAGATATTCAAAAAGTCTATTAGGACACCAAATATCATGAATAAATCTCCATTTCCAGGGCCAACTAATCTGATTTTTCAAGGTCAAAAATCTAAAAAAATTACTAGCGATTTTTTTAGAAAAAATCTGACTACACCACTGGATTTGTGACATTTTCAAATGGTTAACATGTAAATTACGTTGAAATGCGTCAATCAATAAAAAAGTTATAAAGGAATGAAATTTGAAAAATATGCCGTTTAATCATCCCATCAATTTTTATTACTGAACAGATTTCGATGAAACTGTGATCAGTGATATTTCAAGACATCCTGAATCCAGTGGAGTATACAGAATTTTCATAAAATTCCTGAACATGAATTGGTGGGTTGATTAAACGGCATATTTTTCAAATTTCATTCCTTTATAACTTTTTTATTGACTGACGCATTTCAACGTAATTCACATGTTACCCATTTGAAAATGTCACAAATCCAGTGGTGTAGTCAGATTTTTTCCAAAAAAATCGCTAGTAATTTTTTTAGATTTTTGACCTTGAAAAATCAGATTAGTTGGCCCTGGAAATGGAGATTTATTCATGATATTTGGTTTCCTAATAGACTTTTTGAATATCTACCTAACAAAAAAAAAATCATTCCAATCGGTTGAAAAATGTAAGTTTTATAAGGGTGCTCCATCTTAAATGGGTCACACTGTACATACATAGAATCTCCAGAAATGCTAAAAACACTAAAACACTAAATAATCATGTAATTTTTCTAGAGGGCTGTGGATTTTTCATATAAATGAAGTATATTTCAATTTTCATAAAAAATTATGCGAAAAACAGATGTCCCCGTATACCGATCGAAATAGTATAAAATTTACGATAGTACATTGCCTTACGAATTTCAAAGCAGTAACATTCAGGGGTTTTGAAGCATTCAAGAGAATCTGGTACGTTGTACTGGGGCACTCTTTTTACATCATTAGGTGCATGGCAGGAGTACAGGGTGGGCAAAATTGGGCGTTTTCACCGTCTATCTCAATAACTAGAGGAGTTATCGAAAAACCGATATACATGTTCCGGGTTCGATTTTGGAGAAACCTCGAATGGTACAAACAAAATTTCGATATCTTCATTCGTTTTAGAGATACAGGGGGAAATTGAAAATTTGCCGATTTTGATTTTATTTTCTGACTACTTTACGGTGAGAGGTATCAAAAAATTTCAAGCGTATATTTATACAGTATGATGCGTGGAATCCATTGGCATCATCAGAAATTTTATACAGGGTGACGTTGAGAAAATACGGCAGCCAATTATGTTTTTTCTAATGGAACACCCCGTATATTTTGGCACAGTTGAATAGTCCCAGGCGTTTTCATTACAAATATATATATAACCCTACCTTTTTCTTCCACAATTTCAGATACATTCGCAAAAATATATTCAGTGTGTCACATTTCTTATGGTTACACCCCCGTATCTTCTGTAAGAATAATTGATGGAAACATTATCAATCATAATATTTTGTGGCAGAATGCCTGAATATGATACTTTACCCATTATTTCTAGTATGCCTTAATATTTTTGCGTTCAAAGAGATGATAAATAAGATATATATTTGAAATTGAAACGGGAACTTTCCAGCTCTGCCAAAATATACGGGGTGTTCCATAAAAAAAATTGTTCTGTATCTGGAATTTGAACATCTTCTATAAGGCTATATTTTTCAACGCAACCTACTGATTTCCTAATTGAGTGCATTATTGGTCTTATTTCTGTATCTCAAATGTCTTGATAACAATGATATCAAATCGAATAATTTCCCATTTTATTTCTCACCAAATATCCATTTATCTGGAAATTACATTCCCCATGATATTTATTTTCCACATTTGGTGAATATATACAGAGTGTCATTTTCAACCTCGATTCTGCCTGTTGATAGCATTATCCAGAAATATCGATGATTCCATAGCTGCTGGCGAGCAGTGTTATCATTGGAGATGATCCCACTTGGTCCATGACTCCATGAGTGTATCATTTGTATCTTTCTGACAGTTGCGAATTTTTGAATCCTACCTCAATTATTTTCACAGAAGATACGGGGGTGTAACCATAAGAAATGTGACACACTGAATATATTTTTGCGAATATATCTGAAATTGTGGAAGGAAAAGGTAGGGTTATATATATATTTGTAATGAGAACGCCTGGGACTATTCAACTGTGCCAAAATATACGGGGTGTTCCATTAGAAAAAACAAGTAATTACCTAATGGCAATAAAATTCCAATTATAAATACCAAGTTTACTTCGAATAAAAAAAGCTAGTGTGTAATTCGGTAAGACAATTCAATTCATCAAACATTTGTTCATGGCTGGTTGTCATACTTTCAAAAGTTAGGTTCTTTTATTGTCGCTGGAAAATTTAGGGCAAACTTTTTTCGCTGTCATAATGACAAAACCACGCGGCTTGTGGGGTTTTTCACACATAAATTAAATTGTCTAAATGATATGTCATTGAACGATCACTCGGTTTTTCTTAACAACATTGCTAAGCTGATGATATGCGTTGTCCCGCGATTGAGGTGGCAGGAGTGGATTTTGAAGATAGGCTATATTATTACAACAGATGGAAAAATGAACCAAGCTTTATCAAATAGGAAATTGATAACTGTCGCTGGCTCCCAGGCTAATAAGAGCTGATCTCCTTATTACAGCATAATATCCCATTTCACAGTCGAGACAAATTTCCCACCTTACGTCGTTACGATCCCACTTCTGAAATTTCTCAGCTGCGACCCAGATGCCGTTAGTCGTTTCTCTGTGTATCGATCGGAATATAGGGATGTCGCCTTAACTGCCCTGTTGAACGTATAACCTTTTCCAGTTCTTCCTGAATTCCCTTTTGATGCCAGCGAAAAAATCCTTCCGTCAAGGGCTAGTATACAGGGTGGGGTATTAGTGCGTCGGAGCTCGATTGCTCGAGTTCTATGATAGCTAGAAACTTGATTCAAAAACGAATGTCAATGAGACAACAAGGTCCGTAACTAGAAATTATTGCCGCATATACAGGGGGCATCGGAAAAAATCTAGAGGGTCAGGATCACTTTTTATATTAGCACATTTTTTGAAGCATTCCTGTGACCTCCATCCACTCCTATAATATTGTTGACTATTTCTCGATCATTTCATAGTTATT